ATCCTAGGGTGCCTGGAGTCCAGAATTGATCATGTGCATTGTTGCCTTTCGGAGGTGAGAGAGAGGCCCATTTGCGGATAATGAAAAGGCTCCTGGATTACACATTCATCCTCGCACACCAAGATGAGTCACGGCTTGCAGAGCCGGCTCTGGCACGTTAACAGGGCTGTGTTCCAGCGCTCCGGACTCGTGCGGTCTGTGTTGATGGGAAGCGAGGAGCTGGAATCGGCGAGGCTGCCAGCCAGCAGCTGGGGCACGTACTGCGGAGACTCTTGTGTAAACCTGCAGTGACTGGAGAGCAGGCTGCTGTGGGGATTTCTACCTTCAGCTCCTTGCTGGCATGAGGGTGTCTGTAGCTGCTGAAGTAAACTAGTGGCTGATGGGTCGTGTGTGCCAGGGATGTTCCTTGGGTGATGACAGGGTTACTAACACGTTTCTTTTTTTTTAAAATCTTCTAGCTAAAGCTTGAAGATCGATCAATCGTGCCTAGAGATATCGTCCGTCACATGAGCCCCACTGTGAGTTCCTGTCCCCGTTTCTCGAATATCTGGGTGGATGTGTGTGCGTGCGCGTGTGTGTGTGTGTCCGGTGTGACCACTAGGGGGAGCAGCAGTAACGCCCCTTCGCCTGTGTGCGCAGGACAGCCAGTGTGGGACGGTGGTCGACGTCAACATTGAATGTGCTGTGAAGCTCGTCGGGACCAACTGTGTGCTGTACCCGGTCAACAGCAGGGACCTGCAGCACATCTGGGTGAGTGGATCCTGCGAACCCCTCCCTCATGTCTCTGGCAGGTGCCATCCCCCCCCTCCAGCCCCCTGTCTCTGCTCTGGCTCCTGGCAGTGCGAGATGCCAGCGGACAAGCCCGTTAGGCCCTGTTTTTTGCGGGCATGAAGGGAGCCGGTCTGCCTTAGCCAGGTGAATCGGAGTGGAGACATGGAGCTGGACTGCGGCCTGGACGCCCCCCGGGTGGCTGTGCTGAGCCGATTGGGAGGGTGAGGCTGGGATAGGTCTAGCAAAGTGCTCTTGGCTTCCGGTGGCCACTGGGCCTCTCCCCCCTCCTCACAGGTCGAACCAGAGCCTTCCTGCACGTCTGTGTAGGGCTCCTGGCGGGTCAGGTCAGGGGGCCGCCTGCACTTCTTCAGCCTGCCAGTGGGGGTCGCTGTGAGCCAAGGCACAAAGGCACAGTTGGCAGTTCTAGATCGAGCAGGCATTCGATAAAAGAGCTAAATGTTAAATCGGGGGAAAGTCAAGTGTTAAATCTTACAGAGGTAAAATGTTTAACAGGGATTACCAGACCCCCTTTAGAGTTCCTATGCTGTTTTAATGTCACTGCTGTCAGTTTTAGACCTTTCCTGGTTTCTGCATCTCTGTACAGTTGCATCTTTGTTGGTTTTTGATTTCAGTCTTTCATGTATGGGGACTACATAGCCTACGATTTCTGGCTGGGGAAAGTCTACGATCTGACTAACCACATTATTCTAAAGCTGTCCAATGGAGCCAGGTACCTCTTTATGCTTTTGTTCGTCTTCCCCCCCTTCAGCTGTCTGCTTGTGCTGGAAACCAGCTCCGACGTACAGACATGAGCTGTATGAGCAGCAGGTTTAGATCAGCTCATCGTCGGGGCAGTGCTCAAGCACAGTCAGTCCTTTAGCTGAGTTACTGGATTGAATCTGAAGATTTCAGATCGAGTCTGAAAGAGCCCAGAGCTTCGCTCAGTCTGCCCCCTTGAACTCCTGAAATGCACATGTAAGTGCAGCAATAACTTGGCTCTTAAATTAATCTGAATTGCTGGGCTCAATAGGTGTTCTGCATATTTAAAAGAGCGGTTATTGTTAGGTGTGTATATATACACTTATCATATACAGTATGTTCTTGTTCTTTATAAAATTGTGAATAACACTGCTGGAGATGGCAGCCGTATGTGCAAATGACTGGACTCTCAAAACCCCATACAGTACAGAAACCTGATCTCTTTAGTCTCAGTGGTACGTATTCAAAAGCTGCAGCCTGTCTGAAATCCGTATCTTCGCAGCCAGGAGCCTCAGTTGAGGATTCTAGCAAATGAGTGTATAGCATATAACCTCCAGGTCCTCATGCAAATTGGCCTGTATCCAACTGTTGGTTTTGCTTCAGTAGCGCTGTGCTGGACGTGCGACAACAGCCCTTGTGTCCTGTTTCTCCTGCAGGTGCTCGATGAGTGTGGAGGACGGAGCGAAACTGTACGACGTGTGCCCCCATGTCAGTGACTCGGTGAGCTCTGCGCTGGTGTAACATGCACTGCAATCTGTTCGCCTGCAGGAGCTGCTCTGGTATCGCTCTGTAAGCGCTCCTGTGGCCAGCTGGCCTGCTCTTGCTCTAGAGGTCACAGATGACCACGATGGAGCAGAAAA